GAGATCTCGCGATTGGCGGTATATTTTTTGGACCTAGGTCAATATTTGACCTATTTTAACAATTCATTTTTTCGAAAACAATCCAACTATTTTCAACTTACTGTGGTAATGCGACAAAACGGAAAGATATATTGACTTCAGACATTCACTATCATGTTCCTTGATCAGTTTTCCCTGTCGTGTGATGTGTATTTCAATATCATACCTACCAGTATAGCGCCTTTTGGGGCAACTAACGGAGCGAGCGAGAGGGTGAGCCTTGCACGTGCGAAATTTTGAGGGGGTACCTCCAACTGACTTGTGCACGGCACCCTACTAACCGGTCTCTAGCGATGTGCCAAATTTGAGCACAATCGGCCCAGCCGTTCTCGAGATCTGGAAGCGGCACCCTGCACGTGCGCACGTGCAGAATGGGTCCCAACTGACTTGTGCACGGCACCCTACTAACTGGTCCCTAACCGTGTACCAAATTTGAGCGCCATCGGTCCAGCCGTTCTCGAGATCTGGAAACGACCCCTGCACGTGCGCACGTGCAGCAGCACCCCAACTCTGGCACATAGATATGCAGTGCCTAGTGGGTGCCTACCTACATGCCAACTTTCAGCGCAATCGGCCAAGTAGTTACCGAGATATTGCAACAATTACAAAACTGACACCTCTTCGTTTTGCGCGTGGCACGTGCATAAGGGTTCACCCACATGCATCGGGAATAGTCCAATACTTGGTAGAAGGAATGAAGCTACCCTACAAAAATTACCCCGTGTAAATCGGTCAAGTGGTTGCTGAGATATAAGCCTCGCAAAAGCGTCCGCACGGCCGGCCGGCCGGCCGGCCGGCCGGCCGCTCATACTCAGAAATTTCCGTTAATCTAAGGAAAGACTACGCTCGCTTCGCTCGCTCCGTAATAAAACCAGTATAGCGCCTTTTGGGGCGACTAACGGAGCGAGCGAGGGGGCGAGTCTTGCACGTGCGAAATTTCGAGGGGGTACCTCCAACTGACTTGTGCACGGCACCCTACTGACCGGTTTCTAGCGATGTGCCAAATTTGAGCACAATCGGCCCAGCCGTTCTCGAGATCTGGGAGCGGTACCCTGCACGTGCGCACGTGCAAAATGGGTCCCAACTGACTTGTGTACGGCACCCTACTAACTGGTCCCTAACCGCGTACCAAATTTGAGCGCCATCGGTCCAGCCGTTCTCGAGATCTGGAAACGACCCCTGCACGTGCGCACGTGCAGCAGCACCCCAACTCTGGCACATGGACATGCAGTGCCTAGTGGGTGCCTACCTACATGCCAACTTTCAGCGCAATCGGCCAAGTAGTTACCGAGATATTGCAACAATTACCAAACTGACACCTCTTCGTTTTGCACGTGGCACGTGCATAAGGGGTCACCCACATGCATCGGGAATAGTCCAATACTTGGTAGAAGGAATGAAGCTACCCTACAAAAATTACCGCGTGTAAATCGGTCAAGTGGTTGCTGAGATATAAGCCTCGCAAAAGCGTCCGCACGGCCGGCCGGCCGCTCATACTCAGAAATTTCCGTTAATCTAAGGAAAGATTCCGCTCGCTTCGCTCGCTCCGTAATGACGCGTTGAGAGCATCGGAAGTTCGCAAAGTCACGGCTACCGACGGGCATTAATCGTTAATTACTTAAAGTCGTTATTGCTCTCAACGAGATATCTCGATTGGCGGTATAATTTTTGGTCCTAGGCCGATAAAATCGAGCGGGTGCGAAATGTTCATCAGTGTTTTTACCGTTTTTGCTTGTGTGTAACCCTCGATAAAGCCATTACACCGCGAAACGTTGGTTATATAACGACCTTCTCGAAAGAAATGATTAATTAACAATTCATGATTAACGATTAAACAAAGTCATTGCTGCATTATTTACCTTAAACTGTCACACGTCGCTTAATCAGTTGCCAGTTGCTTGAGCTTCCCATCCCACATTTTAAAAGTAGATGTCTATACGATTAAATGAATGTACATTTGTTGATAATATCGACTGTTGCAGCTGTCTGCCAGGCCAACATGAAGATGAAGAAGTCTGAGGTAGCGACTGCCATATCAAAGGCGTGTGTGGATGCCAGGGCTGTGGCAAAACGGAGGTCGAAGACCCACGCCGACGATGAGGCCGGTAAGTGTGACAGTACCTACCTAATAATAAGAGGTGCAATGGTTAAACAAATCCGAAATCTGTTTGCCTAATTCGTGCCTTGTAAATCAGTCATCAATATAGGTGAATCCAGGCTTTGATTGTGACTTGTCGTGCGACAGACAGTGATGTTTCGCTTACCCATGGGAGTAACCCGCGCTCTGCTGGGAAGACCTCATCGCTTACCCATGGGGTTAACCCGCGCACCGACGGGGGTCTGAGCCACATTAGTTCCGACGGGGGGGGCGGTATCGGACCTCCCCCCCCCCCCGGAGATCTCGAAAACTAAGCATCGTAGCGACAAGCGGCAAACGGCGTTGTATAGGGCGAGACAAGATCTAGAGGAAATAACCAGGCCATTTTTGTGTCAGGTAAAAAACAAAGTCACCAGAGGTCACCGAAGACAAAATGTTACGATTTTCACAACGTAAATTTCGCAATAGTTTTTTCTGCTAAAACTTCTGTTCCCGAAAAGATAGAGGAACGATTCAAATGCTATTGTTCTTGACCCGTCAAGGCGTGTCGAATGATATATCATATGACTTCGAAAGGTCAAACTGACATCAGGTCAAGAATTTGACCTCAGGTCAAGGTCATGACCTGACCCAAATAGGTCGTGTTGCATATCAAGCGATTTGCATTGAGTAAACGAACACATTGGATGTCGTTTGAAGTCTATCACCATTCAATCAAAAGTTATTGCAGAAAAAAACGTTGGTGACCTCAGGTGACCTCGGATGACCTGGGGATCACCTTCCAAACGCTACAAGTGATATGTTTCGGCGGAATCACCGCCAGGGACCTGTAATACCATGATCTTGAGCATATTGAAGTCATAGGATGGCACTCAGAGCAAGTTGAAATTTCTCCGATTGACTTATGATGGGCCGGTTGCAAAAATGACCTGACCTTGGGTCATCGATATGAAAAAAATCCGAGATATACAAGTTGTAGCCCTTGATATAATTGTTACTTGCGGCGAATGTCAAGATCCTATGTGAAAAACTGTGACCTTGGGGGACCGCAAACTTAAAAATTTACGTTCTGAGGTAAGGTCACGACCTGACCTGAGGCCTCTTGCACCAAAATCCTCTTGCACCAATGCTTGGATTATTTTGCATCGTATACCCAGTCCAAGTCTCAAATGTAACAATTTGCGTGCAAAATTTAGCAAGCACATGTAGGATTATGTATTGGGCTATTGCAAATAAATTTACCACCGTTAGATTAGCTTATTCTGAAACCGGTTTTTCGATTTTACCTAGCTAGGTAGTTTGGTGCAAGAGGCCTCTGGTGACCTGACCTTTGGTGATATGGGGATAATATTTTGGCACATTATACGGAATATATCGACATCTTTTTTTTAAACCCCACATTTGTTCTCCTGTGAATTTCAGACAAGTTGGTTAGAGACCTTCAAAAAAGGTACAATCACTCGATTTTTCTCAAGTTTGTCTGTCTTGGCAGATCAAGCAATACCAGAACAGGCCTACGAACACACATATTTGATCAGGATCGGACGATTGGGCACTTTTAAAAGGAGATCTTTCGTGCCTCCCGGAAATTCACGGGAAATTCACGGGAGAGGGGGATGTGGGGTTTAAAAAAAGGTGTCGATATGTCGGAATAGGTACGCGCCGCCGTTTTTGAGCTATCTGCGAAAAAAATCTCAGGGGGCGGATACCCTCCCGCCCCCCCCCCCCGTCGGTGCGCAGGTTAACGTTTTCAGTTTGAATACGAAGTGCTAGCAACTCTATAATTTAAGAAATATATATTACTCTTCTTGCAGGGGAACGCAACGTGTAGCAGGCCGCTGCACCAACGGAGACACACCTGGCCGGCGAACATGACCTGATACATGAGCTTATACACAAGACTGTGACAAGCTGTGACATTGTAGGTATGATAAATGCATGCTATATTTTATTCAAGAAATACATTTTCCATTTTTTCCATTTTATTTCTTTCCGAATGAAGATCGAGGCGAACGTGCACTTGCGAACTGCAGCAGCTGACTGAGCGAGGCTCCTGGATTCTGTGAGGATAAAGGATCATTTTCAACAAGTTTTTTTTTTTTTATAGGCTGTACTATTTATTTCCAATAAAATTGTCTAATTGGACTGACCTATTGAAGTCAATCAGATGTCCAATAGGGCATCCATTTATGTCCTATTGGACATCCTATTGGATCCAATTGGATATCCTATTGAACATCTATTTGGATCAAATTGGATATCCTATTGAACATCTAATTGGATCCAATTGTACATCATATTGGACATCTAATTGGATTCAATTGTACATCATATTGGACATCTAATTGGATACAATTGGATATCCTATTGGACATCTAATTGGATACAATTGGATATCCTATTGGACATCTAATTGGATCCAATTGGATATCCTATTGGACATCTAATTGGATCCCATTGGATATCCTATTGGACAATCTATTTGAAAGCTCAATGGGATTGTCCAATTGGATCCAATTGGATTTTTTACTAGGGATGTTCACTGTTCAAACACCCCCCCCCCCCCCCCCGGCCGGCGCGGGTTAATAGACCTACCATGGATGAATCAGTCCCTTGATCTGTAGTTCCTCGATGGTTCTTTTTACCACCGCTACATAGGTGGCAGCACTAGCTACCGCTAAGGACGCAGGGGAGCCGGCGCTTTTCAAAACAGTGGTCGGCGTTATATCAATGGCTCGTTTGCCGTTTTTTTTTTTTTTGCCCTGTTTCGGCAGTTAGTAATACATGGAACGCGCGTCAGCTAATGAGACGAAAGTATGACGGTGCAGGGTGAGCGGGCGCCTGGAGGCGACCGACCACTCACCGGTTCGGCGCCGACCAGCTCCAGCCACCGCTGGATGGGCACGCGCAGCGCCTGTCGCACCAGGCGCTCCGAGCGGCCGGCCAGCGCGGCGGCCAGCGCGCCGCGCGCCACCTCCCCGGTCACCTGCTAGTGAACCGAGGGTCGCCGCATCTCCGTCACCGTTGGCGCCGGCACAGCCACAACACACAGCATACAGAGCACCAAAACAAAACATCCGGGCAAAGATTTTCAGTTTTTTTCTTGAAGATTAGCGGTTCAAGAATTCAGCTCTAGTAAGGGCGCAAGATATAGTAAATGTACATAAAAGTGTGAGTGGTAAGCAGCCATGTGGTTCGGTGGCGCCGATCAGGTCGGTAGCCGGCCGGCTTACCGTTCCGGCGCGCAGTAGCGCCAGCAGCCGGCGCGCCGCCTGGCGCCGTGTCGACTCGTCCGGGTGGCTGAGCTCCACTACCAGTGCGCAGTCCACTGCCGGCAGTGACACAGAGCTGACACACGCAGCACACCATACACAGACAGTGCCGACACAGCCGACACGTCATACACAGACAGTGCCGACACAACCGACACACCATAAACAGACAGTGCCGACACAACCGACACACCATACACAGACAGTGCCGACACAGCCGACACACCATACACAGACAGTGCCGACACAACCGACACACCATACACAGACAGTGCCGACACAACCGACACACCATACACAGACAGTGCCGACACAGCCGACACACCGTACACAGACAGTGCCGACACAACCGACACACCATACACAGACAGTGCCGACACAGCCGACACACCATACACAGACAGTGCCGACACAGCCGACACACCATACACAGACAGTGCCGACACAGCCGACACACCATACACAGACAGTGCCGACACAACCGACACACCATACACAGACAGTGCCGACACAGCCGACACACCATACACAGACAGTGCCGACACAACCGACACACCATACACAGACAGTGCCGACACAACCGACACACCATACACAGACAGTGCCGACACAACCGACACACCATACACAGACAGTGCCGACACAACCGACACACCATACACAGACAGTGCCGACACAACCGACACACCATACACAGACAGTGCCGACACAACCGACACACCATACACAGACAGTGCCGACACAGCCGACACACCATACACAGACAGTGCCGACACAGCCGACACACCATACACAGACAGTGCCGACACAACCGACACACCATACACAGACAGTGCCGACACAACCGACACACCATACACAGAGTGCCGACACAACCGACACACCATACACAGACAGTGCCGACACAACCGACACACCATACACAGACAGTGCCGACACAACCGACACACCATACACAGACAGTGCCGACATAGCCGACACACCATACACAGACAGTGCCGACACAACCGACACACCATACACAGACAGTGCCGACACAACCGACACACCATACACAGACAGTGCCGACACAACCGACACACCATACACAGACAGTGCCGACACAACCGACACACCATACACAGACAGTGCCGACACAACCGACACACAAACCAGCCGAACCTCAAGGCAATACTTCGGACTTGAAAACTACCCATGAATGTCTGGTAAATTTTCTTTAAAAAAATACCAGCTGTGTTTCCTGCGGGGGGGGGCTTTCGAAAGGCGTTCGTCTTTCGTCTTCAGCCTTTCTAAAAAGCACTCAGACACATACACAATACACAGGCACATACTAAATGACAGCTTTCTAATGGCCTAAAAATGTACAATTAGACTCGTTTTGAATTATAGTTCGGAAAACGCGCGGCATCATTACGCATAAACCTTGTTCGTTACATCGTCATTGACCATTCGAACCATCAAAGTTAACAAAAATCGTATCCGTAGCCAATAGTGTAGCCATACACGATAAGTGAACCTACTGGGTTCACTGGCGGATCCAGGCCTTGAGCGCGGGGGAGGGCATACTAAAAATATGTAGGGTTAACCCTATTCCTGGCGGGCTCCGCCGGGACAAGAAACTGGCGGAAGGCCGATTCGGCCCCCCCTTCAGATCTCAAAAACTACACATTGCAGCGACAAACGGTAAACGGCATCGGATACGCACGGTCAAGATCTACAATTTTTACTAAGGTCATTTTCAGGTCAGGTCAAAGATGACGTCACAGGGGTCAAAAAGTCAAAATGGCGGCGCTAGATATGGAGAGAGTTTTTCTCGAATAACTTTCGAATTAGTCAAGATAGGAACAAACTAAGGGCATCATCGTGATCCTCTCGTCAATCCGCATCGAATGATGTATATGTTGACCTCGAAAGGTCAAGGTCAAAGGTTGACCTCAGGTCACGTGACCTCGAGGTCATCATGTATATCATTTGATGCGTCTTGACGACCTGAACACAATGAGACCATCCACGCGTCTGTATCTTGTTCCTGTACGGAGTTATTGGCCAAAAACCTTTGGTGACCTTTGATGACGTCACATGACCTCACAGCTGCCCAACAGCAAAACAGACCTCAAGGTAGTGAAGGTTGATCGTATATGAAGTCATGTATGGTATATGGGGCCATTCCGACCCGTTTTAGTGGTAAAAACAGGGAGTTGATTTTTCCCCCATTGACTTATAATGGGGAGGTCGCGAAACTGACCTGACCTTAGGTCACCGATATCAAAATTCCGAGATATACAAATTGCACATACTGGTACCCTAACTAAAGCCTGAAGAGAAGAAATTGATCGGTCAAAAACTCTAGCTCTGGCGTGATTGCAAACTTTTCTGAGGTAGGGTCACCAAACCGCCTCTGGTGACCTGACCTGAGGTCAGATCAACTCAAAATTTTCAGACATATTGCGTAGAAGCCTTTTAGGAAAAGTCAGAAAATTTGAGCTTCCTAGCTCAACGCGTTTGGGAGAAATAACCAAAAAACCTCAGGGGGGGCTCCTGAGGCCCCCCCGCCAGGAATAGGGTTAAATTAAACGACTTAACAAAAAAAAATTAAAACTAAAAGTAAACTAAAAATCGGGGAAAGCCAAAAATAGATCCTCTTTTGTCATCGGATTTAGGCCACTTATTTTTCGTCACAACCCTGATACGATGATTTTCTTTTTTTGAAAACTTAGAAGAAAAAAATAGAGAAATGGTAGGCCGCCTGACCCCACTGGTGGATTAAGTGGGGCGGGCGATTGGGACAAATGCCCCGCAGCGCCCGAAATCGACGGAAATTTGCGGCTTTTCGAGAATAAGACAAAACTAAACTTTTATTATGAAGGGTTTGTTTTAAACCACCCAACATATCGCAAGGAATCAAAATCCGATGAGTTTTTTTTTTATTTGGAGAAACTTTTTTGGGGGTATGCACCCCGCAGCGTCGTCTATCTGGATCCGTCAGTACCTGACCCGTGTTTATATAATAGTAGCCAAAAGTCAATTATTCAAAATAATTTATATTAGGACCAAAACGCGTTTCGATTATATCGTCATCAGTTGGTCCTAAATAAATGACACAAAATACCATGTTCAATTCAAAACACTTGAAAACCTACGGCAACATTTGACGTGGACATCTCAATGCAATACATTTCTTGGGGAGCAGTTCAACACTCAGTCGTGACCTACCTCGTCAATAACATGTACAATGTATATACCTACACATAGAATATTACAGTTGATGAACAGATAGAATAAATTTTGCGGCTGTCTCTGCTAATGTTATCCTACCACTTTTGGGGTTCATGCACTCATTTATTTCCAGAATGGCCGCCTCGAGCGCCATCCTTGTCATTTTGTCAATGTTTTCTTTAACACTCTTAGCCGCTCTCCAGTCTGGCAATGCTCCACATTCATGAGTGTGTTTTACAATGGTTTTGTCTCTCTGATATTGTATATCTTTCCGATGTTCCCTCAGCCGTATATCCAAACCGCGACAGGTTTCGCCATAGTATGGCTTGGAACACCCAAGACAGGGGATCTTATAAACAATGCTGTTCTCATGTCGTGCGTTCCGTTTACTTCTCACTATTTGTTCTATGCTTTTTCCCGTCTTGCTTATAACGACCACATCCGTTCCTTTCAAAAAGTTGGTGGTGGTGTCAACATGCTTGGAATGTGGCACAACAATGACTTTGTGGTTCTTCTTCTCTTTCTGAGTTTTTGGAATCCTATCACGAATTTTCTTTGCCTTTAATTTACACCTGATAACCAGTAAAACGCCTTTTGGGCGAAGAACGAGCGAGCGAGATAGTGAGCCCTGCACGTGCGGAAGGGCGAGAGGGTACTTCCAACGGGCTTGTGCAAAGCACACTTCTAACCGGTCGCTAGCGGTGTACCAAATTTGAACGCAATTGGCCCAGCCGTTCCTGAGATCTGGAGGCGGCATTCTGCACGTGCGCACGTGCAAACGGGGTCCGAACTGACTTTTGCACGGCACCCTACTAACTGGTCCCAAACCGTGTACCAAATTTGAGCGAAATCGGCCCAGCCGTTCTCGAGATCTGGAAGCGCCCCCTGCACGTGCGCACGTGCAGTAGCACCCTAACCGCAACACATGGGAATGCATTGCCTGGTTGGTGCCTACCTGTATGCCAAGTTTCAGCGAAGTCGCCCCAGTAATTACCGAGTTATTGAAATGGGAACAAATTAGGCACCTCTTCTTTTTGTATTTTGCACGTGCAGTGGGGGTCACTCACATAGATCAAGAGTATCCCCTTTGGTAGAAGGGATGCAGCTACCCTACAAAAATTACTGCAAGACAATCGCCCGAGCGGCTGATGAGATATGAGCCTCTCAAAATCACTACTTTTACAAAACAGCTTGAACACCCTTGACTTTTCACGTGGCACGTGCCACGACGGTCACTGAGATGTGTTAAAGGTAGTCAATTACGGGGTAGAAGGGATGGGGCTACCCAGCAAAAAAGACCGCAGGCCAATCGGTCTAGCGGTTGCTGAGATATAAGCCTCTCAAAAGCGTTACAGGCCGGGCCGGGCCGGGCCGCTCATACTGAGATTTTTCCGTTATATTGAAAAGACCCGCTTCGCTCGCTCGTAATCATCGCTTTTGGGTACCTCAAGTCCTTGAATACACTTTCTATGTACGCCAGCTCATCGCCCAAGTACTCATCACTGCATATTCGGTATGCTCTGAGATAAAAACCGATTATTACACCTGTTTTTACTCTGTCGCCATGAGCTGAGTAGTAATGGATGTAATCCTCCTTGTTTGTTTCCTTTCTGTGGACCTTGAATTTCAATTCATCGTCATTTCGCATGATCAACACGTCTGAGAACGGGACACATCCAACGCTCTCTTCTTCAATGGTATACTGTACGGTTCTCCAGTAAAAGTCTTGTTGGTTTTGCTTTTTCGGACATATCTGGTCCTATATAATGTTCAAATGCATAACTATCAACCCGAATTATGTGTATGCACATTTACCACGAGACTGTGAAATTGCATCGTT